GATTAACAAGACATAGAACCTGCTTTCCTTGTTTTAGTTCAGTCCCTGCAACCGGCAGTCTGCCTGGCTTCAAATCACTCAAGGGAGGTGAGGTAGGACTAAGGACAGTGGGAGCGGGAGGCAGACATTCTTCTCAGGGATGGGGTGACCCTGCCTTTCCTGCTGGCTTCATGGCTCTCACTGAACTCTTCTTAAGTAAGGAACATAAGAAGAACTAATATCTAAATGTGTGGGAGTGGGGCAATTAGTGGTAGCTTTAAGTCTCTCATCTTTGCCACCCCCTCAAATTGCCCAAGGATCATGACAGGGAAAGGAGTTACCTAAGGACATGTGGTGACTTAGGAGAATTAGGGCAAGATTAAGATCTCCAGCCACAACTAATGGTCAGATAAGGACAAAGAGCCCTGAGTACCAACTGGCCTATGGTCAGCTGAGGTTTGACCTCTTGCTTTATAAACCCAAATCTTACCCAAGGGTTGTTGTGGATAAGGGACCTACCTAAGTTTCCAAGGTAGAGTTCTGGGCTGTGACTGAGGATTAGCTGGCTTTCAGGTACTGGAACGAGATGGGTGGGCACGTGTTAGGGAGGTTTGGACTTAAAAAATCTAACAAAAGGCCTCCTTTCTACATCTTGGGGCTCCATGAGTCACCAGGCTTTTGGGAGAATGCCAAGGTCATCGTGACACAGCAAGGATTTTACCAGCCCAAGGGAGAAGGCAATTCTGAAATGACTCAAGAAAAGGGATGGGCTTGGAGTGTCAGATCATTCCTCACACAGGCTTGTCAGCAGGATGGACCCTGAGTACCCACAGAGTCTATGTCTATCACACAGTCTAGGTGGGAAAACTGATGTACAGAGATAAGCCCTGTAGTGTGCCCATCTGCCCATGTGGACATTTTCTTCTGCATAAGGGGAAAAGAGTCACTTTCCAGTCTCACCAAGGTCTTATTGGCTGGGGGAGATGCCCTTTTAGGTCCACAGTTCCTCCCCCCATCAGTCCATAAGGACTGAGTGGGGCAGTAAGGATTTCTGTTTCCTTCCTTGTTTGGGTGGGAGTCCTGAGAAGAGGCAGCATAAGAATGCCCCTATATAAGAAGCTGGGTACATGGGTAAGACTGGGCAAGGAACTGGGGAGGAAGAGGGGTAGAGGACACTACTTGGGCTCAACTTGCCCTAGTGTGTTCCAGGTTTTTAGGCTTGGGGCCTGCCAGCCACTGGATTTCTTTTAGTTTCTAGATCGTACTGAATTTATTCCCAACTTAAGAGGACAAGTGCCCTCCTATCCTCAACTTGCCTTGCTTTCTAAGTCCACTTGGGACTTGTGTGTTGCAGGGCCCTTAGTACACAAGAGCTCATTTGTGACTTCTGTCACATACAGCTCCCTAAAATCCTGTTGGTTTCCTTACTCCCAAAAGACACTGTCCCCACAAGGAGGATAGGGATTGAGGCTGTTGTGGATTGGAGGAGGAGACACTTAATTGCTACATTGAATGAATGTAGAACTTGCAGGTCTCCTAGATCAGCAAGCACCTTGCCTACCTCATGCATTCAGTAAAGTGTCAGGCAGGGGATTCTCTGAGGGTTGTCTCAGCACAGGGTGTGTCTGTCTCAGGCTCTCTGAGAGGAACAGAGAGAAAAAAGATGCTCTTCAGCAAACCTCTCTGTTCTTTCCCACTCCCCTCTGGTGGAGCTAGCACTTCCTATTTCTACTCTGGAAGACTCAGTTCTCACTCATAGAGCAGAGGAGAGCAAAGGGGAACTATATCGATTGCAGTGAAATGGAGTTGCTCAACTTCAGACTAGAATTCACATAATCAGCCTAGGATACAGCCAGAGGCTGTCTGGCCCTTGTTTGTTAGATGAAAACTCCTAATGTTCAGAGAAATGTAGACATTTGCTCTAGACCACACAACAAGCTATCAATGAGGTATCTAAGATTTCAGATCCTCCAGTTATAAACTGTCATTGCTGTTTGGATTATTATTGTTGCAAGCTTATGGGTGGGCAAGGGAAATCACCCTCAGTTACTTTCTTTTCCAGGTGATACTTTAGATTGAAGGGCCTAATAGAGTTCTATATGCTCAGGTTTGTGGTTGATACATGCATGCATGGCTTCTTTAAGGGGACTGGGCTGGAGCCAGGGCTGAGGGTAGGACTTCTGTACTGTGTGTTCCAACTGGGTACGTCTCTTGGGTGTTAGAGTTACAGGGAGTTAGGGAACAGTGTCTCTCCCTTACCATTTCTGTGGTTGAGGCCTTCTCCTCTGCTTCTCCATTCCTTTTCTAAGTTCTCCCAATCCTAGTTTTGCTCAGAAATACAAGGCTGACAAAGAACAGGTCTGGCAAAAGGGGTGGCATGTTCTGATTTCCTCTTTTTTGGTAGCACTGGAAATTGAACCTAAGGCCTCATGCATAAGAGGTTACTACTTTACCATTGAGTTACAGTCCTAATCCTTAGTGGGTGGCAATGCTATGTATGAATAAAGAACCACAGAATTCACCCAGCATTGAGGGGCCAAGAGTGTGGAAGGAACTGGCTACCCTCTCAAGAACACACTAGCTCTGAAGTTCTTGCTCAAGATTACACAATAATTTAATAGTGAAGGCGGTCATACGAGAGTGAGCTGATTCCAGGGTTAAAAGTGAGCAATTTCTTTCCCCACAAATCCTTGGTCACTGAACATGCCCTGCTGCCACAAAGCACATAAGAGAGGGTGCCCTCCCCACCTGCCCCAATCTCAGGGTGTACCATCATCAATACACCACCCCTCTGATTGTGTTTCTGTTCTTCAGTTTTCCCTAACAGAGCACATTGGTAGATGTTTCAGTTAGACAACTGAGAACCAGGTGGAATCAGCAGAAATCTGCAGTAGGCTTTGGAAGATTGTGGCAAAGAGGAGGTGCTTGCCTCCAGGGAACTTCATATAGTAGAGAAAAAACAGGCAGAGGCAGGACCTCAGATCCTTTCACTGAAATCAACTGTAACATTTGTCAGATTATAGATTTGGAAAACAATAGACTGAATAGCACTTCCTGCCTGCACCTCAGTTTTTTTCTATCCAGAAGAAGTCCAAGTAGATGGTGCTTTAGAACTTGGATGCTCCAAGTCTGGTTCACATTTAATGGCTAAGCATAGATTTCTAAAAGACCTTGCAAGTGAGAAATTTGACACAAGTATATGATGTACAGAAGATACTTCTGTGATGATCAGGACACACAGGCGGGAACATATGCCATAGTTTTCAAACTAGTAGAACCTGTATGGTTCCTTAGCAGTCAGTTGGGAAAATTCAGGTAAAGAGAGAAGTGCCTTGCAAAATGCTACATTTGATTTTTTAGACTCAGGGCCTGAGGGGAGACTCACCGATGCACCCATGATGATAAATATGTGTGTATCAGCTTGATGGAAGGCATCTCCCTGGTACAACTCTTCCCTCAGGATCCCACACACCTGGGTCCGGCTCAGGGCCACCTGCTCTGCCATGGTATTTTCTGGTGGAAGAAAGGCTCATTGATAAGGCAGGAGAACAGAAGAGCATTGACTACTTAACTTTATCTGAAGGGTCCTTTGGGTTCTCACTAGGCTGGAGACTGATTACTAAAACTACTGGCTAGGAACGGTGTGTGTGTGTGTGTGTGTGTGTGTGTGTGTGTGTGTGTGTGTGTGTGTGTGCTGCCTCTGGGCTCCAGCTATATCTTCCTATGCTTTCTTCTCTGGGGGCTATACATTACGAAATCACTATAAGCATTAATGGAATTCAGCTAGGGAATCCACTCTAGGAAACTACATAAAATCCGGTCACGGAATCGCACTGTGGGGTCATCGCACTCTAGTCTCTACCAGAAACTCCACAATGAACTGAGCATCTTTGATTGTGCAGATGATGGAGTTCAGCTCCAGCTCTCTCTTGGCCAAGCTAGGTGATCCCGGAAAGACCCTTTTCTTCTAAAAGTCTAGTCCTCATGGGCCCAATGCGGGGAAGTGTGGGGTACAAAGGGATGGGGTAAGACCTCGTAGATTTTCTTCCACACCTAAGCAAGGCAAATAGCGCTCATCAAAGGGACATAAGCGGGAAACACATCCCTCCACCTGTGTGCTATCAGACCACCCCTTTACCTGCGTTTAGTTGCTGCTGCCAAAGAGGTTCACAGTTCTGGAGTGTACAGCTCGTTTCCGGGGGCTGCGCTTAGCTGGCCCATTTAACGCAGGAAGGCGGGTGCTTCCACTGAGCTGACCCGCCTCAGGAGAGGCAGGAGGGGAGGCGCTTCGGACTACTCCATCAGTGAGGGAGGGGAGAGGAGCAGAAGTAAGTGCGCACGCATCCCTTGCCTGCCCCACCCTGTTGGCCGTCCCAGCTTCCCCTGCTCCGTGATCGCAATGCCTTGCTGGCACAGGTGCAGCTCCGTACAGTTCTCTCGTGTTCCTATCACCATCCCAGCTATACTTTATGATCTGTTTTCCAATGGACCCTAGTGTCTCTGCGCACTCCCGGATGACCCCACTTCCTCTAGCAGCATAGCCACGCCTCCCCTTGCGGTCGGTTTGGCGTCCTTTAGCAGCTTCTTCTAGGCTTTTTCCATGGTAGGGACTTGGTGGCAGAGAGCCTAGTGACAGAACCAGACTGAAACTGGGATGTTTCAGTGCGAATGCGATGCCTTGAAAATGTGGTTGGGGCGAGTGTGGGCTTGGTGACACGCACGCCTTTAATTCCAAGCACCCGGGAAGCAGAGGCAGGTAGAGATCTGTGAGATCAGAAGACAGCCTGGGCAGCTAGGAGAGAGACCCTATCTCAAAAAAAAAAAAAAAAATGTGTGTCTGTGTGTGATGTTTATCAGTAAGGAGCGTTTCGCTCTTCGGTTGGCCAACGCAGGCTGGCGGTCTAAGGCTTCCCTTCAGAGCGGGATGCAGCCCTATTGTGGCTTCGCATCTCCACTTATAATCTCCACGACTTCGACTCTGTTTTACTTCCGGATTCCACACTTACGACACCGGAAGCCGGAAGTAGGGGTTTCCACAGCCGAGAAGGGAAGGGTGACCGCTTAACCAGGACTTTCTGGGAGCTCCGATTCAGTCTGAGAGGTTGGGTTCTGCTGCTCCGATCCTCTTCACTTCTGGCCGACTCTGCTGACAGGTGTGGTTCTCTTCTCCAAAGACAGGGCTCCATCGGTGGCCATTACTCAGCTTCCGAGCCTCCTGAGCCGTCCCCCCACCCCCACCCCGCCTTTGGCCCAGTTTGTCCTGTCGCATGCTTTCACATGCTTTTAGAGCATTGGTTCAGAAGTACAGATTCGCAACCCTGCTGACTAGTCAGACTGATTCTGTCCTTCCCTCTGCTCATCTGTCGCCTAAGGGCTTGGCCCCTAGTGCTAGAACTCGTCTAGTTCAGAGACATTTTTCTGTTGATCAAACTTTGTTTTCTGAAACAGCATTTCCCCATGTAGGCCAGCCAGACCACGAACACAAAGTTCTCCTGCCTCAGCCTTTTCTAGTGCTGGTGTACGCCACCAAGCCAAGCTGTTTATCAAACCTGAGTGTATTTGAAGTCCTTAAAAAGTTTTCAAGTGTTCCCTTACAGCTAAATACCTTACCGTATGCATGTCAGCTCACTTTGCAAATAATTAGTAATCTATTTGCCTGTTCTCATACTATTTATCTGATATGAGAATGAATGTATTGCCTTGGCATTTCTTAGGTAAAAGGTAGCAAGCGCAGACAGTCAGGGAGGAATAGTTGGTGGAGAGGAAAGAAGGAAGAGGAATTTAGGTAGTATAAAACTTTGTAAGGTGTTGTACAGACTTTGCTTTTGCTTTTGATAGGGTTCACTAGAAAGGAGAAGTAGTCTGAGTTACCTTTGATGTAACTGGCCTCAGTGGGGCCATTGAATGTAAAAGACAAGGGAAGAAGCAAAACATGGCAATCTGTAAAGAGATTATTGCAGTAATCCATGTGAAAGATGATAGTGCTTTCAGCCTTTTATTATTGAAAACTTTAAAAATATACAGAAATAGAAATAATAATAGTAAGCTCCATGTACATAGTTCTTAGGTCATAGCTAACTTTAATTCACAGTCCTCATAGTCTTCTACCATGATTGTTTTCCTCTTTAGAGAAGATGTTATTTTATTGTAGGTGTTTTGGCTGTGAGTATGTATGTGTACTACATGTTTGCCTGGTGCTAAAGGAGGTCAGAAGAAGGTGTCAGGTCTGCTTGGATTGGAGATACAGATGTTTGTGAGCCATCATGTGGGTGCTGGGAGCTGTCCTCTGCAACAACAGGAAGTGCTGTTAACCACTGAATAATCATCTCTTTTGCCCCACCCATTATAATTTTAATAACACACAATTTTCATGCTGCACCATTCACATTGAAAAACTAAAAAATATTTACTATTATTTTTTTTTTTTGTGTGTGTGTGTGTGTGTGTGTGTGTGTGTGATGTGTGATGTGTGGGGTGTCATGGCCAGAATGTGTAGAGGTCAGAGGACAGCGTTGATGAACCAGTTTTCTCCTTTCCACCTTTCCATGTGTTCTTAGGTCTCCAGGCGTGCATACCAAGAGCTTTTATCCATTGAGATATCTCACTTGCCCATAATTCAAAATTTTTGGAGACAGAGTGAAGATCCCTTTCTTTTGAGTTCCTAATCCTCCTGCTTTTACTTGCTAAGTACTAGGATTACAGAAGTAAACCACCACTCCTGGCTACCATTCACATATTTAAGGTGTATAATTCAGTGGCTTTTTTTTTTAAAGTGGATTTATGGGAGTATACAAATATCACTAATTGCAGAATATTGCACCCCTACAAGAAACCCTAACTAAGAAACCCCAATCCACCTCATCTCTCTAAGTAACCACTAAACTACTTTCTGTCTGGATTTACATGTTTTGCATATTTCTTATGAGTATATAGCTTTTGGTGATATTTCTTTCTCTTTGTAATTATTTGGAGCATATGTTCTTGTTTTAGCATGTGGTTGTAGATTTTGCTTATTCATCAGTTGATGGACATTTGGATTGTTTATACTCTGGCTGCTTTGAATAATGCTGCTGCTGTGATCATTTATATATGAACACATGTTTTCATTTCTTTTGGGTATATATATCCTTGGTATCTCACTTTTATTATGCTGTGAGTTTCAGACATGTATTTTATTATGTATGTCTTTCAGAAAGGACTCTAAATATAACTACAACACCATGGTCACACTTAAAATACTTAATGTTACAGAGTTTCTTCATGAATTAGCTATGATGATGAGCAGGGGGTAATGTTACAGTTTCTTCATGAATTAGATATGATGGGCAGGGGGGAGAGAAAAACAGAAAAACTAACTGAACAAACAAACAAGCAAATACTCAGAGATACTCAAGCTTTTTGTCCTGATAATTGGGGAATGGATTTGTTTTCAACTGATAGTAAGGGAAGTTGTGGGTAGAAGTAGATTTGGGAGATTCATTTTTTTGGGTAGTGCTGGGGAATCCAGGGTCTGGTGAATGTTTGGCAAGTGTTGTATTGCTGAGCTATACTTCTAGGCCTGAGAAATTAATTTTGAGAAGATGTCTTTTTATTTTAATTTTAATTTTTATGTATATGTATATGCCTGTGTGTGTGTGCATGCGTGCGTGCATGCGTGTGTGTGTGTGTGTGTGTGTGTGTGTGTGTGTGTGTGTGTGCCTCAGAGACCAGAACAGTACATTGGATCCCCTGGAACTGGAGTTATAGATGGTTATGAGCTGCCCAACATGGGTGCTCAGAACCAAATTCTCTGGAAGAGCATTGAGTACTCCTAACAGTTGAGCCATCTTTCTAGCCCCTTGAATAGACTTCTAAACATTCAATTACTTTGGTATGTGAATCCGGAATTTAGGAGTGAGAACTATTTGGGATATAATATTAAAATTTGGGTTAAAGCCATGAGACTGGGAGAATTACTGCAGGGGTGAATGTAGTTAGGAAAAAGGTCCCAAGGCACCTCAACATGAAGGAATGGGAACTCAGTGAAAAGACCTCAAGAAGATCATCTTTTGAGTGAGTGAGAGACATCAGAAGAGGCTTTTCTGGAAGCTGAAGGAAAAAAATTAGGTGAAGAAGAGGGGAAGGGTCAGCTAGGTGAGCTTGGGCAGATGGATCTATGGGTATCAACACTTTTAGTGTAAATAGCTAATTTTCTTCAGTGTTACAGGCATCTTCCCTTACTGAAGGTCCACTTCTGGAAGCTTGCATTGATATTGTCCTGTTCCTGGCAGTCAGTCTTAGGCAGGATTTAGAAAGTCTCCAGGTTAGCTCTGACCAGCATGTTCTTCATCTGGTTGATAAGCCATAAGCAAACCAGGTGTCATTTGTCTCAGACTGACACTGCAAGTCCTACTTTCAAATTTCTTAGCATATAGAAGACACCAGAGGTTTCCTTTATCCCTAAGGAACACTCCTCAGGTGCAATGTTTTCTCCTGAATCCTCTTATCAAGTGTTTGAATTTCCTGTGATTCCTATTAAGGAATGACCACGGGCCTGGTGGCTTAAAACAACAGAAATTTGACATCTCACAGTTCTGGAAGCCAGGAGAATAAAGCCAGAGGGTTAACAAGACCACACTTCATCTGCAAATTGTACAAGAGTATCGTGTCTTTCAGCTGCTAGTGGCTTGGTTGTTCCTTAGCTTGTGGTTATATCAGTCTAATCTCAGCTTCTGTCTTCTCATGCCATCTCCCTGTATTTCCACCTGTTTTTCATCTCTCTTTTGCCTCTTTTGTGTGTATATGAGGAGCTGGGAATTGAACCCAGGGCTTTGTGCATGCTAGGTAAATGCTCTTCCACTGAACTATATCCCCAGTCCTGTCTCATCTGTCTTTCAGAAGGGTACTTGTTATTGAGGTCATGGCCCAACCCTGTAATTTAGGATGATCTCAATTTGAGAGCTTAATATTTGTGTGACAGGTTCTTACTATGTAGAGTATTCTAGCCTTGAACCCAGAGATTTGACTGACCTCTTAATTGCTGGGATTAAAAACATGCATCACCATGCCTGGCTTGAGGTCTGTAATTTAATCACATCTGTAAAGCTCCTTTTTTTCCAAGTAAGGAACTAGGACAAGCTATGAAGCCATGATGGGTAAGGAGAAAAGTGGGGTATAGGGATCAGTGGTAGTAGGTTTGATCTTTCTTGGGACACAGCAAGCTTTTATGTGGGAGGGAATTTAGTTTTCCTTGGGAAAGAGAGGTTTTTGCTAAGATGGAGTGTGGCCTGCTCATGGAAGGGTGTGGCTAGTTCCACTGAGAGGATGTCTTTGAGTTGCAGGAATTAGGACATGGATACATCAACCATTCTACTACATTAAGTGAGGAGATAGAATTCCCAGTACACTGTCCTTTCCTTCCACAAGTAACTCTCTCTTTGGAATGGGAATATTTGCTATGTCTTAGATCCATACTCTACTTTTGTATCTGGTTCCACCAGATAAAGTGTACAGCCTTTTGGTATGAATGGAAGTCTAGGGCTTCTGTATAGATTGAATGCCTTGTGTTGGTTGACAGAACTCTGCTCTGTGTCATGCACTCTTACTGTCTTTTTCTTCTAGACACTGTCTTGTTGGATGAGCAGGCACCTCTGGAAGAATCAGTTGAGTGAAATGGTGCAGCCCAGTGGTGGCCCAGCAGGGGACCAGGACATGCAGGGTGAAGAATCTTCTCTGGGGAAGCCAGCAATGTTACAGCTGCCTTCAGAGCAGGGTACTCCTGAGACCCTCCAGCGCTGCCTGGAAGAGAACCAAGAGCTGCGAGGTGAAGATTTCTGTGTGAAGGAGGCATGGAGTAAAAAGTCAGGAGGGGCCTGGCCCACTAAGGGCAAACTTATTTTCACCCGTACTTTAATATTGGTAGGGTACAATTGAGGCTATGTTCCTAAGAACCAGCCAGCATTTCAAACTTAGCTATCTTCTTGCTTGGTTAAAGGTGGGGTTCTCCGTGAAGATTTACATACAGGAAAAAATGTGGTTCAGGACCAGCACCAGGGAAGGGGAAGGGGGAAAAGAGGACAAGCTGAGAAGCTATGGTGGGTAGGGGGAAACGTGGGGTATAGGGGCATAGGGGTATAGGGATCAATGGTAGTAGGCTTGGTCTTTCTTAGAACACAGCAAGCTTTTAGGTGGGAGGGGATATGGTTTTCCTTGGGAGAGAGAGGGTTTTTCCTAAGATGTAGTGTGGACTGTTCTTGGAATAGTGTGGTCAGCTCTGGTGAGAAGAGGTCTTTGAGTGTGTTTTCTGTACTGGCACCCTGTCTCCCTGATCATGTCACCCTCATTTTGTAAGGTAGGTATTAACTGTACTTAAATATGCAGCTGAAGATGATGATTCAAGTCCAAGATATCACTAACTTGTCCTGTTTGCACCTTCTGTGCTCCTAGGCTGTAGCCAGAAACTACACAGTGAAATTTGCCTTGGGGACTACTTCCCCAAGTCTGCAGGCTGTTTAGGGCCCCCTGATCCTGAAGATAGAGATACTGGCCTGGGAGGACTAGAACAAAATATTCCAGGGTAGGGATATCCCCCAACTGAACAGAGTATAAATGAAGCACATAAAAAGAAAGTTGTGTTTGATGTATCTCTTCAAGTGAGGATGATGTGTTTAGTAATGCATTGCAGGCACTTGGGGGCATATCATCAGTGGACTTGGCTGGAAATTTGTTTGACTTCTTTGAAAAAGGCCACCTAGTATTACAGAGGTGCCATGCTGTCAGAATCCACATCTACTTTTCTGTCTTCCCTGTCCCCAGATGCCATCAGGCAGAGCAATCAGATGCTAAGGGAACGCTGTGAGGAGCTCCTGCATTTTCAGGTCAGCCAGCGGGAGGAGAAGGAGTTCCTCATGTGCAAATTCCAGGAAGCCAGGAAGCTGGTGGAGAGACTGAGCTTGGAGAAGCTTGACCTGCAGAGGCAGAGGGAACAGGTCTTAAAGGATTTGGAGCACCTGAAGAAATGCCAACAGGTAGCTGGTGGGTGGATAGCCCCTGTGCCCCATCTTTGTTTGAAGGCCATAATGAAATTCATGTTCTCATAGGAGGCATGTTGTTGGGGGTTCCCCAAGACTTCTTTCAGCTTGATTGCTGGGAACACTTTTAGAACCAAGAGAAGCCATCACATTCACTGTTAGATTATTACAGTGAAGGGGTCCACATTAAAATCATCCAAGGTACAAGACATGTAGGGCAGGAGCCAGTAGAGGCCAGATATGAGCTTCTCAGGGAGCAGTACTTTTGCTGTGAGCAGTGTACATGGAGCAGTGTCATCCAGGGAGCATGCCTATGTCTTAGGAGCCAGGGTTTATATGGGGCTCACTTGTGAAGGCATAGAGTGCTTGGACACCTGGCCCAGTTTGTTCAGATCTTAGGTACCCTGAAATCCAACTGGTACCATACCATATATTCCAAGGCCCTTACTTATACCTTGCCATCAGTCTAGATAGCCTGGTAGGTCCTTAGGCCCCTGATAAGCCAAGGCACTCTCATCAGGCAGGATGCCTCGGGGGTCTCAGAGATGATTACCAGGCACATTTGGAGAAAATATTTGGTCCCAGGCCTGTAAGTTGTCTTGTATTGCACTGTCTCCAAAGGATGGTGTTCTTAGTGTGAGATGATAGGATATTTCAGGGCCTTTTTGGACTGGCTGGTTTCAGGAGCCCCGTGACAGTAGTTGAACAGGTATTGTGCCACCTGGGAGAGTTAATCTGGGGAAGAAGGGTAGGGAGGAGTTGCTTTAGTCAGGTTTTAACAGTGTAGGGCTAAGTTCACAATGCTGCTGAGAGTGCCTGGTCAAAGCATTTGGTTCCTGTCTGAGAAGACAGCTGCAGGGTACCACATAGTGGGGACTTAGACAACTGAGATTGTCCCCAGTTTTGGAGGTATGGGCAGATGGGTTCCTCATAAAGGCTATTCCAGGTGCTTCTTCAAGTGTATTGTCAGTGTTGGCAACCCTTGGGGCTCCCCAGCTCTCTTGTCACATGGCCTTTTTCCTGTTCTTAAAATTTGTTACATTTTCTTTTGTGTAGTGTGTGTGTCTGTGCATCCTCTCATACATGTGGGCATGATTATGCCATGGTGTGCATATGTATGTCAGGGAACAATTTGCAGGAGTCATTTCCCTCTTTCTACCATGTAAGTCCCAGGGATTAAACTCAGGTTGTCTGGTATCATGGCAGGCATCTTTACCTGCTGAGACACCCTGAGCTGTCTCACAACCCTCCTCTCTTTTTATAAGGATACTAATGTGAAACATTAGTGGACAGTTATTAAAGCCATGAAAGCAGATTTTGTTCAGTAACTGATAACAATGAGAGAGAAAGAGCTAGCTGAGTGCTGGTGATTTGCACAGGTGACTGGATATTTTATTATTATTATTATTTTTTTTTTGGCTGTGAACCTAGCCTTTAATGGCTGAGCCATTTCTCCAGCCCTATTTTATCATTTCTCAAGATTTATTTTTATTTATGTGTTTGGATGTTTGTGTCTGTGTCTATGTATGTAACGTGTGCAGGTGCCCTTGGAAGCCAGAAGAGAGTATCAAATCCCATCAAACTGGAATTCTAGGTGGCTGTAAGCTACTAGATGGTTGTGGTGCTAGGAACTGAATTCTGATAATCTAAAGAGCCTCAAGTACTCTTAACCAGTGAGCCATCTCTCCACCCAATGACTGGGAATTTTAAAATGACAATAGGGACCAGAGTGTGGTTCAGTAATAAGAGTATATACTTTGCATGTGTAAGGCCTGGAATTCAGTTTTTAGTATTTCAAAAAATAAGATAAAGACGGAAATAGAGATAGAAAGAAAATGAATGTTTGGGCAGGGGAAGGAGCTCAAGTGAATGAATGACAAAGGGTATTACTGTCAATGTGATGAGGCCAGTGTGTTTATGAGCTTGTACAAATCAATATAGGATTTTACCATTTACTGGGAATCTGAGTCCTAACCTTTCTGATGATTCCATTTTAAAGGAGTAGCACTCAGGGTTTTTGAGACAGGGTTAGTATCATAGGAAATACATGGATTTTGAGAGGGTTAGAGGAAGGAGTCATGGCTGGTTGTACTTACTAGTTTTTCCAGCCTAGAGCATGTGTTGGCTAGAATAGTCTGTCCTTTTAACAGTTCTGACCATTTGCAAGTAAGAACCAGGAAGGGGTCTGGAACATTCCAAGAATGTGATCTTTTTTTTTTTTTTCCAGGAATGTGACCTTAAGTTGTTTGAAGGCATGTTAATGTTTGGTCAACCTTAAAGTTTTGCTGAGCTGAGTATGGTTTAATATCCCAGCACTTACGACAGTTTGTAGGAGTTAATTCTCTCCTTCCATCATATACGTTTTGAAGATCAAAATCAGGTCATTGGCCTTGATGGCAAGTACCTTTACCCGAAGAGTCTTCTTGGTGGTTCAACTCTCAGTATTTAAAAAAATTCTCATTTTTTGAAACTTCTCACCTGTTGTATATCTGGACTAGGTTGTTTATTTTTCTTGCTGTCTTTGGTCTGGTCTCCTTTTATAGAGCTTCAAAGAGACTGAGAAAGGTTCATTACTTGCTGAAAGTCAAGGTTGGTGACTGGGGGAGGACAGATAGACATTGGGCTAATGAGCCTCCAATGTACCCAGGTTTATAGGTACTGAGGGGCAAGAGAAGCCCTCAGTACATCAGCTGCTTGCTTGGGGATGCCAAAAGTGGGCATCGTGGGAGAAAGTAGTAGTGATAGGAAAGTACCTTTTCTCTTGCAGCAGATGGCTGAAGACAAGGCCTCTGTGAAAGCCCAGGTGACATCATTGTTGGGAGAACTCCAGGAGAGCCAGAGTCGCTTGGAGGCTGCCACCAAAGAACGACAAACTTTAGAGGGAAGGTGAGTAGGGAGAGGAAGCTAGCCCAGGAGGCCCTTTCCAGGGTTTTGAATGAGGCCCTAGGAGTTCCTCTCAGGGACTGACAGTCTTCTTAAATTCCCTGCCGCCTTCATAACTGCCTTGGGAGAGCCCTGGTCAGATATTCAGCAATCTAGTTCTACTTTTATTTCCAGTATCTGACCATTTACTGGGTGTCTTAGTTAGGGTATTTATTGCTGTGAAGAGATACCATGACCACGGCAACTCTTATAAGGAAAACATTTAATTGGGGTTTGCTTACATTCAGAGGTTTAGTCCATTATTATCATGGCATGAAGCATGGCAGCATACAGGCAGACATGGTGTTGGAGAAGGAGCTGAGAGTTCTACATCTGGATTGGCAGACAGCAGGAAGAGACACTACGTCTGGCTTGAGCATTTGAAAGCTCAAAGCTCACTCCCCAGTGACAGACTTCCTCTAACAAGGCCACACCTACACCAACAAGGCCACATGTCCTAATCTTTTCAAATAATGTTGCTCCATATGAGCCTATGGGGGTTGTTTTCATTCAAACCATTACACTTGGGTTCAGTTTATTCTTTAGGAAGCATTGTAGCCTCCCTCCCCCCAAGACCACATTCACGATCTTACTATCCAGACTGAAGTTTCTATTGGGAGTTGGTCACATTCACATCCTCTACCAGGCATGAACCAACATTTCTGACTCTTAGCAGAAAGGTGTTTAGTTGATTTTGCCAACTAGTGGCCTTAGGCCTTGGCAAGGGGATTGTGTTGCCACATGGGACCATTGGGTCACAGGCATGGGCACTTTTGTGTCTGTCTTACTGACTTGCGGCTGTCCTCCAGATAGTTGGCGAAGGGTAGCTTTGGTCCTGCCCTTTCAGGGCAGTAAGTAGTCATTGTGTTTGTGGAGCAGTAGGTTGGGGCTTCTGTCCTGTAGGAGGGAGGAGTTGACTTGGGTTCAGAGACCACTGGAGGTGGTGGGTGGGGAAGGGCAGTGTGAGTAAAGGCCTAAGATGAGCAAGCCCAGTAGTCTAGACCTGCCCTGGCAAAGTTGGGGTGACCTTCAGTCAGAGGCTACCTCAGAGACCCATGGAAATGATCATCATTGCCTTTATAACGGGCATATAAGGATGTACCATGGTGATGAGGCTAGTGCCTGGGAACTGGGGTTTAAGGGAAGCTGTAGGGTACTGTGGGCCAGGATCAGAAGATATGGAGGGCATCGGTGATATAGGTAAGAATACATAAGCTTTTACAATGAGAGTATAGAGGGAGAGATGGAGTCTCTGAGACTTTGATGCTATATCCTGTCCCATGAGGCTGTATTACTTAGATATGGAATCTGAGCCTCCCATGAGGGGGCCTGGGACTCTATCTGAGTTGTGAGTAACACAGTAGTTCCTGCCTATCCCTGAGCTCAGTGCTATCCAGCTCAGATGGTAGTCTTCCCTGCAGCTTCTAGAAGAGTCTCTTGATATACCTTTACCCAGACTGCTTTGGCACCTTCCTGGGGACTCCTTACATCTGGTCCCAACAGCAGCTTGCATGCAGGTACCTAATCCTCTTCCTTGTCTACCTCCTTGCCAACTGCACATGATTGTGTTATGTTGGGCATAAGAAGCAAACACATCAGGATATGCTTCTTTTCTTCTTTTAATTTATTCTGTGTCGTTTACATCATGTACCTTGATCCTATTCATTTCCCTGTCCCTTTGCATCTACTCTTTGCCCTTGCATGCCCCCAAAATTTAAGAGAAAAAAGGTAAAAAAATAAAAAAGGGAAAAATTAAAAATCTTGTTGTGGAAGCTACAGTATGACACAGTGAGTCATGCTGTAAATCCCTTTGTCCATATATTGTTAATTGTACGTGTTCATTTTAAAGAGTCATTAGTCAGGTTTGAGACTTCTGGTTTCTACTACACTAGAGATACTGGGCCCTCAGTAGGACTCTTCCTGGATATGCTGTTGTTGCCCTGTGTTGTGGAGATTCCACAGCTTTGGGTCTGCAGGTCAGGTCTAGTAGATCATAGATAGGGTAGATATTAGGGTAGGTCAAGTCATAACCCTGGATCTGGGTGTGGGCAGCTGTGGTCTGCCAACCAGTTCTCCTCTGTCCTCACACCAGGGTGAGCACTGCAGCATTGTCCCCGGCTAATTGACCTCTTGCAGCAAAGAGCGAGGAATGGTGCCAGTTCTCCTGCTTTCAAGCCCTTAGGGTTGGTTCTTCCACACTGGCACCATTAGGGCCAGCTCTGTTGTGTTGCTCAGGTGAGATGCAGAAGGCCACTTTCCTGAGTTCTGCAGCTGGTGAGGGGTAAGGACAGCTTATGACTCTAAGACCAGATTTTGCACATCTCTCAGGCATTGATGGGTGGGATGTGGGCTGCCACATGTGAGATGAGTAATGGGGGAAGTTCTCTTGCTCACAACATTGGGGCTGGGTCACCATCACCTTCAACCACTGGGCAGCTCTGCTGTGCTGCCTAGGCAAGGGACAGGGACTGATTCCCGAATGCTGCAGCTAGTAAGGAGGAGGGTCAGCTCTCTTGTCTGTTGCAGGTGGTGAGGGGTAAAGGGGGGCATCTTTCACCTCCCCACATTACCACATGACAGACAAGTAGTGGGGACAGCTCTCCTATGCTTACAACTTTGGGGCTCGCTCACCCACACTTCCACTGACAATGTTGGCTCAGGTAAGGTACAGGGCCTGCTCTCCCAAGTGTTGCAGCTGGTAGGGGTCAAAGACAGCTTTTTCACTCTTACGACCTCAGGGCCAGTTGCAGGAAATGCTTCTTAGTTTTCATCTTGTGGCTGCCATGGTCCCTGTACTCTGGTACCAGAATCAGCTCTCAGACACAGGCTGTTCAGGACCTGACCCCTTCCCCAGGCTGTCTTTCTCCAGCCCCTTCAGTATGTTCTTTTTTGTTGCATGCCAGGATACGAGCAGTTAGTGAGCAGGTTAGACAGCTGGAGAGTGAGCGGGAGGTGCTGCAGCAGCAGCACAGCGTGCAGGTGGACCAGCTGCGCATTCAGAACCAGAGTGTGGAGGCTGCCCTGCGAATGGAGCGCCAGGCTGCTTCAGAGGAGAAGTGAGTGGCTCGGAGGGTTGGTACCAAGAGATCCCAGAGCACCTATGGTACTTTCTGCCTTTTGGGGAGTTCTGGTAGGGACTGGCTATGTATGGAAGAGCTGACTTTCTCCCTTTGCCTTGCTAATGACAGAATCAACTATTATATGTAAACAGAAGTATTTTCCATCCGCATTCATATTTTACTATATGTCCTACACAAGTTCTTGTCACCACAATTGAAATATGCCCTTGGTGTAAGGAAAGCAAAGAGCCATGGTGGCTTCAAGCTGGCCCTAAAGACTTACCCGGGCCCACAATGCCTGCACAGGCTGTAAGCATGCTATTGGCATATGGTTCAGGATCCTTTTGAGTTTTCTTTAATTTAGAACAATCTCCTTGCCTCTTTGTTTTGTGCTGAATACAGTCAGATACCATTTTATTGAAAACATTTCTCATATTTATTTTCTTTTTGGTCCTAAGGGTGGAGTGTTTGGTGCTAGCCAAAGGTTCTACTCCTGAGTTGTACCCTAGCCCTTGTTGTAAATATTCCAAGATGCTGTCTTTAATGAAAACATGAACTATGTAGCAGCCAAATTAGTTGCAGGGTATCCTTGCAGTCAGCAAAGCCTGTCTTAGAGTTGATGGCCTCAGGAGCCTACATGTAATCCAGGAAGCCCACATTTCAGGTCTTTTATGGGACAAGAAGGAAGAGGGTGAAGCTATACCAGGCAAGCTGTGGCTGTACTGGGACAAAGCAGTTTCTTCAGTGACAGCTCCTTTTGCACAGGCGGAAGCTGGCTCAGTTGCAGGCAGCCTATCACCAGCTCTTCCAAGACTACGACAGCCACATCAAGAGCAGCAAGGTGAGTGAAGAACACAAGCTAGTAAGTATGGCTGCCCTGGGTTTTCCAGGGAAAGCCCCCCCCCCCCCCAATATACCTGAAGGGGAGTAATGTAAGTTTTGAGATCTGGCACATCTAACTTTTGGAAGGGACTCTCAAGTTGCCTAACACTGTCATTGGAGCTGTAGCTCTGACAGTTTATAGGTAGCCACAAGGAGATGAGATGCATCCACAGAACATCTGTAGGGCATCTGTGTCTATGACCTTCAGATACACTGTATGGCAGTTCCTTCATGATCAGAGCCAGGGGAAGTCCCAGAAACATTTATAGTTTTTTGAAAACATTTTTATAGTTATTTAATGTATAGAGAAGTATTAATAGAAGTATTTTGCTTGCACATATGTAATTATGTGAACTTGGTATAAGTGAATGTGAGTGCCTTGTTTTGGCACCAAAAAAGTGAGTGTGAGTATTACAGCTCTGGAGTGTCTTGACTTATTGGGAAGCCAGTCTACCTGAAGCTGGGGCGCATCCTCCCCCACTCCCCACGCAGGATATAACAATCCTGCTCATTTCCTAGAGAGGGCCATTACAGCTGAGCTCTGCTCTGTTCCTGTAAGGGAACGTCTTAGCAGGGTCAACAGCTTCTTCTACCTTCTTAGGTTACAGTCTGCTAAAGGGGAAACTCATGCAGAAATGTAGCAATCTTTTCCGGATGTGGCAAGAAGTAGTTACTTTTCTGCTACAGACTTGCTCAGTCCCCTAAGGGAATGTCATGGCATTTTTTTTTTTTTTTGTTCTTCTCAACCTTGCTCAGTCCCCTTAAGGGAATATCCTAACAAGTTCTTCTATTCTGTGCTGGTGAATGAAGATCTTCACCCAAGATTCTTTTATATTTTTAAAAATTTATTTAATTTAGAAACAATCTTATTTTACATATTAATCCCAGTTACCTCTCCCTCCCATCCTGCCATGACCCCCACAAAACACCAAGCCCCCATCCCCTATTCACTCCCCAAGTACTGTGAGACCTTCCATGGGGGATCATCAGTGTCTGTCATATCATTTGGAGGAGGGCCTGGACCCTCCCCCGTGTGTCTAGGCTGAGAGAGTATCCCTTCATGGGGAATGGGCTCCCAAAGTCCACTGGTATACTAGGGATCAATACTGATCCACTACCAGAGGCCATATAGACTGCCCACATTGGGAGGTAGGTAGGTAAAAAGAGAAGGGGAGAAGACATGAGGGGAGGAGAACATGCAGGATAACCCAAGACTCTTTTTGAGAAAGAGATTTATTTGTAAAGGAGTCCAGGAGAGTGGCTGCCTTCTGCCAGGGTGGTAAAGGACAACCAACAGCTGAACAGGCAGATGGACTTATATAGGGCTTCTAGAGGGTGGTGTTTTCCTAGGGAGAGGATTTTCTGCTCAGGGATTGGTTAGTTTAGTGGAGCAGAGATAGCTCTGATTTGAGGGCAAACTGTTTCTTTCACTGGTCCATTATAGCTTTTGCCTCTTAATTTTAGGACCAAGGAGTATTTCTTTCACTGGCTCTGGTTCTAGGGACAAAGTGTGTTTCTTTGGCTCTGGTTTCAAAGTCAGGGTATTTTCTTTGGTTCTGGGTTCAGGGATAAAGTGTTTCCTTCACTGGCTCAGGTTTCAGATCCTGGGTGTGTTTCTTTCACTGGCTCTGGGTTCATAGTCAAGGTGCTCAGAGATTGGTTGACTGTGATTCAGTTGGTCAGGGGCAGAGGTGACTCTGCTGTCACTTGGCCAAAGTGGGTTTCTTTAGCTGGCCATTTACCCTATACTTGATACCCAGTCACATAGAGAAGAGTGATTGACCTTTTGGAACTGTAGTTATGGATGTTGTTGAGCCATAATGTGGGTTCTGGGAACAAAACCTGGATTCTCTCCAAGAGCAACAAGTGCTTTTTTGTTTTTATCTCTTTGGTTTTGCGAGACAGGGTTTCTCTGTGTAACTGACCTAGCTGTCCTGGAACTTGCTTCGTAGACCAGGCTGGCCTTGAACTCACAGAGATTCTTCTGCTTCTGCCTCCTGAATGCTGAGACTAAAGGTGGGTTCCACCACTGCCCAGCTGCAACAAGTGTTCTTAACTGCTGAGCCATTTTTCTAGCCTTTTCTTTGCTTCCCCTGAAACATTTCTAGGGTGATTTAGAGCACTTTTTGAGTTTATCCTCATCAGACCTAAACTGGGTTTAGTTTCTAGAGATCACTTTGTGTGTATACATATGCATAAATATATGTGGAAGTTAGATGACATCATTGGTGTTATTCCTCAGGAGCTCTTTTTCTTAACATTGGTTCTCTTGTATTCAGGTCCTCACAAGTACTTTATTATATTTTTAGTTTTCCTCTTTTAGTTTATTCTCTTTTAGTTTTTTTTTTTTAATATTTGTTCTTTTAAATTTCCTTTTACATTACACCCACAGTTCTCCCTTCCACCCCTTCTCCCATCCCTGTTTCCCTCCCCTACAGCTCACCCTCCAGTCCACTCCTCTTCAAGGGTAAGGACCTCCATGAGGAGACAACAAAATCTGGTTGTGGCAGGGTGAGGCCCCTCTCCTATGCATGGCATCCCACCGCAGGGAGTGGCCACCAATAAGCTATCTCATGTACCAGGTTCATATCCTGGTCCTACTGCCAGGGGCTGCTCAGACAGTCCAAGCTTCACAACTGTCTCTCACATATGGAGGGCCTAGTCCAGTCCCCTGGAGTCTCCACAGCTGTCTGTCTATAGAGTTCATGAGTTTTCATGAGCTTGGTTCAGATGTCTCTGTAGATTTCTCCATCATGATCTTGATCTCCATTGCTCATAAGTTCTCCCCTCCCTCTCTTCAACTGGATTCTCGGAGCTTGGCTTGGTTCTTAATTGTGGATCTCTGTGTCTGGTTCCATCACTGGATGAAGGCTCTATGATGACAGTTGGGGTATTTACCAATCTGATTACAGGGGTAGGCCTGTTTGGGCATCTATTATTGCTAGGAGTCTTAGCTGGGGTCCCCCTTGTGGACTCTTGAGAGTTACCCTATCACCAGGTTTCTCCCTAAGCCCATAGTGGCTCTCTCTATTAAGATATCTCTTTCATTGCTCTTCCACTCCATCCCTGTTCACCTGGACCATCCTGATGGGGGATGTCCTTCTGTATAGTTTCTCTTATTGGTTGAAGAATAAAATGCTGATTGTTCAGTAGCCAGGCTGGAAGTATATAGTTGGGGCTACCACACCAGGAGAAGGCTGGGGAAAGGAAGGCAGAGAGGCTACCAGAGAGAGACACCATGTTGCCAAAGGAGTAACATGCTGGATTATGGGTAAGCCACAGCCTTATGTGAATGCATAGATTAATAGAAATGGGATAATAATTAAGACAGAGCTAGCCAATATGAAACCTAAGCTATCCGCCAACAGTTTTATAATTAATATGTCTCTGTGTGCTTATTTGGGACTGAATGGCTGTGGGGTCTGTCACCAACTTTGGGTACCAACGTTAATTATGGCCTTGTAAAAAGAGTTTGTTAATGAACCTTCTTCTCCCATTGTGTGGAACACTTTGAGGAGTATTGGTATTAGCTCTTCTTTGAATTTCTGGTAGAATTCTGCACTGAAATTGTCCAGCACTGGGCTATTTATGGTTGGGAGGGTTTTGATGACTGCTTCTATTTCATTAGGGGTTATAGGTCTATTTAAATTGCTTATCTGTTCTTGATTTAATTTTGATAAGTGATAACTATCCAGGAATGTGTCCATTTCATTTGAATTTTCAAATTTTGTGGAGTAAGGTTTTCAAAGTATGACCTGAAGATTCTCTGGATTTCCTCAGTGTCTGTTTTAATGTCCCCCTTTTCATTTCTGATTTTGTTAATTTGGATGTTCTTTCTCTTTCTCTGTCTTGGGTTAGTTTCTTTTTTTCTTTTCTTCTTTTGGTTTTTCTGGACAGAGTTTCTCTGTGTATCTCTGTAGACAAGGCTGGCCTCAGACTCACAGAGATCTGCCTGCCTCTGCCTCCCGAGTGCTGGGATTAAAGGCATGTGCCACCAATGCTTGGCTCTTTTGGTTAGTTTTGATAAAGGTTTGTCTATTTTGTTGAATTTCTTGAAGAAAGAACTCTTTGTGTCATTTTTTATTGATTTCAGCCCTCAATTTGACTTTCTTGCTATCTGCTGCTTCTGGATGAGTTTGCTTCTTTTTGTTCTAGTAGTGCTTTCAGTTGTTCTGTTAATTCACTAGCCTGTGAGTTTTCCAGCTTTTTAATGTAAGCACTTAGTGCTATGAACTTTCCTCTTAGCACTGCTTTCATTGTGTCCCATAGTTTGGGTATGTTGTACAGTCATTTTCATTAAATTTTGGGAAGTCATAGGAGAGACCAGTTCAGGCTACTTATTGGCTATTGCTAAGGAGTCTAAGCTGGAGTTTTTCTCATAGTCTCCTGGGTGATTCCCCTGTGCTAGACTTCTACCTGACCCTGAAATGCACCCTCAGCACTCTTTCCCTTCATGTCCCCCCCAACCTGATCACTAGTATTCTCATCTCCACCTGCTCTCAGTCTCTCTGGATCTGTAGATTGTAGCATAGTTATCCTATATTTTATAGCTAATGTCCACTTATGAGTGAGTACATAACATCTTGTTGTTCTTGGTCTGAGTTATTACACAAAATTGAAACAGAAGGAGCTTTGCCAAATTCTTTCTATGAGGCTACAGTCACTCTGATACCCAAATTTCACAAAGACCCAACTAAGAAAAAGAACTGCAGACCAATTTCACTCATGAACATTGATGCAAAAATACTTAATAAAATACTGCCTAATGGAATCTAAGAACACATCATAAAACCATCCATCATAACCAAGAACATCTTTTAAAAATGGCTGCTTAATCTTTGAAGGGAATTCTTGGTTGAGAACATGGGTGCATGTGTATAGTATGTGTGTGATAAGCATACCTTTGACGAAGTGGCAGAGTGGAAGGACTCATGGGTTGCAGTCTTGCCTGATGTATGGTGGGCTTGCAGTCTGTGGAGAGTTAGTACATATAGTACTTACTGTGGAGTGAGAGGCCACAGAGGGGAGGGTGGCTCTTGTTCGTGAGGAGTTAGAGAAAGGCTCCCTAGTTGGTAATTCTCTGAAGGGGATGAAGCAGAATAGGAGGCAGTGCCTTATATATCATCAGAGTTCCTATCAGTCATAAAATCTTTGTGCATCCTAAGAAAGACCTCAGCATTTCTGTACTATAGAGCCATAGCAGGATGCAATCTTCATTTGACCCAAAGCCCAAAGGACTAGTTTTCCTTCTTAGTTCTCAGAACAGTGGCCAGCCAGGGAGGTAGTTTGGCCCCACTATGGGCCAAGAGACTCTGCCAGCACCCTTTGTCCTTCTGTAGGGCATGCAGCTGGAAGATCTGAGGCAGCAGCTCCAGCAAGCTGAGGAGGCCCTGGTAGCCAAACAGGAATTGATTGATAAACTGAAAGAAGAAGCTGAGCAGCACAAGATTGTGATGGAGACTGTGCCAGTCCTGAAGGCCCAGGTGAGAGCTTTGCTCCAACCTGCCTATCACATGTGTGGCCTACCCTCCCAGACAATGGGATCTGATGCACTTCTTTGGCATCATTCTTTGGTGGCCGCTTTTTTAGTCTTCTTGAGTCCTTTGCATTGGTCTTTGACCTCTTGGTGCCCTTGGGATCACAGGCTTTCATATCTGTTCCCAGTGTAGTATCATGTAATACTGGGGGAGATAACAGGACTCTGTTCTTCTGGGACATGGCATAGAATGCCTGATGGGCAGCTGATGGATAGTTGGCACACCTTTGTTTTATTTGCCAGGCGGATATCTACAAGGCTGACTTCCAAGCTGAGAGGCATGCCCGGGAAAAGCTGGTGGAGAAGAAAGAGCTATTGCAGGAACATCTGGAGCAGCTGCAGCGCGAGTTGAACAAGCTGAAGGTTGGCTGCCATGAATCAGCCAGGTGGGACTTTAAGAGTGTAGCCAGGAGCACAGCCGCACACAGAGCAGGCATATACTAGCAGCAACTAGTAGTAACTGCAGGAGATTGATGGCTCTTGCTGTTTGTGTTAAGTTTCCTGTACTTCCTGCTGCTCTGTGTCCTGTCCTTCCAACAGTGACCTTTCCCACTGATCCAACTAGAAACTCCACAGAAAATGCATGTATTGAGAGGTATCTAAGGCTGGAGTTTTTGTAGGGATGTTAGGTTTCTTAGTGTCTTAGTTTGGTTTCTATTTGCTATAATAAACATAATGACTAAAACAACTAAGGGAAGAAAGGGTTTATTTTCAGTTTACAATTTACAATCCATCTTGGAAAGAAGTCAGTGCTGGAATCTGGAGGCAGAAACTGAAGCAGAAGCCATAGGGGAATGATGCTTACTTGCTTGTTTGGCTAGCTTTCTTATACAACCTAGCCCACCAGTCCATGGGTACCCACTGTAGGCTGGGCACCCCATACCAATTATTAACCAAAAAATGCCCTATAAACTTATACCTGCAAGCCAATCTATTGGAGATAATTCTTCAATTGAGATTCTCTCTTACCAGTTTGTGTTAAGTTGACAAAGCCAACCAGCACAGTTAACACCCTGTCAACTTGACTTACAAACACACCACAACCTTTCCTTTCTTGTTTGTCCTCCAATTCATGTTAAGATAAAACATAAATTTAGGCTGATCACTGGTGACACATGCCTTTAATCCCAGCACTTGGGAGTCAGATGGATCTCTGAGTTTCATGCCAGCCTGGTCTGTAGAGTGAGTTTCAGGCCAGCCAGGGTTACAAAGTGAGTTTCAGGACAGCCAAGGCCGTTACACAGAGAAACCCCGTCTCAAAACAAAACAAAACAAAACACCAACCAAACAAACAAACCCTCCTCCCATAAATTTGAAAATCCCACAGTCTTTAAAACATTTCACCACTCTTAAAAATAATGTCTCTAAATGTCTGAAACTTTATCATTTGCATTGCTCTCAGCATTCTTTCCTTCCTTGACTCCCACACAACACCCAATTAAGCTCTAACTGCTTGATGATGGCATTTCCAGCCCAAAGTTCCAAAGTCCTTCCAATGTCTCATTAGGCTCTTATAAAATAATAAGGTACATATTTTCTTACTGTAAGAGTGAAGAACCATGGCACAGTCACAATCAAATCAAAGCAAAACCAAAATCCAACAGTGTGAAAAATGCAGTGCTTGATGTCCAGGACCCACTCATAAACCTTTGGGCTCCAATGGGCTTGAGCAGCTGTACTTCTCTGTCTTTACCTTTCACAGCATATATAGCTTGTCTCATAAGCTCAGGCTGGCTCTTTTCACAGCTACTGTTATCCTTGGTTGTTGTGTCATGGTACTGGCATCTCTACTGCACTGAGGATGCACCTTCACAAATAGCTTCTCCTGACCTCTCAAATACTGCTTCTGTGTATGCAGAAGATGATCCTGAGGAGATAACTAGATTCTAGAATCTAGAAGATTTAACCTCAGTGATGCTGTTCTCTTAATCACAGCTGTTTTCTCTGCTTCGGGTAACTAGCATCAATTGTCCTATTAAAACAGGTTTTACTTCAATACGGCTGGTCTTTTGTTCATCACACCTGATTCTTCAGCCCCAGCTGACCAGAACTACAGATTCTTATTTCAAAATACCACATAAATGGCCATGATAGAATCTTTGCTTTGCTTTCATCTGAAACTTTATCATTTGCATTGCTCTCAGCATTCTTTCCTTCCTTGACTCCCACAGAACACCCAGTTAAGCTCTAACTGCTTGATGATGGCATTTCCAGCCCAAAGTTCCAAAGTCCTTCCACAGTCTTCCACAAAACAGTATGGCTAGGTCTGTCTTAACAAATCCCCAAGAGCCTGGTACTAATGTCTGACTTAGTTTTGTTAACTGTTGTGATAAACACCATGGAAAAAAAAAACAACAAAAAAACAAATACCAACTTGGGGAGGAAATTGTTTATTTTGCTTACAGTTGTACTACGATGGGGGAAGTCAGGTCAGGAACTAGAGATGGGAACTAAAGCAGAAATCATGAAGGAACTGTTTTTTGGCTTTTTCTCCATGGCTTGCTCAGCTTTTTTCTTATACCTAAAGGGATGGCATCATCCGTAGTGAACTGGGCCCTCTCATATCAATGATTAATGAAGAAAATGCCCTACAGGCTTGCCTCCAGATCAGTCTAATAGGGACATGAACTCAATTGAGGATCCCTTTTATCAAATGACTCCAGCTTGTGTCAAACTCATAAAAAAAAGTAACCAACTAACAAAAAACTAACCAGTACAAATACAATTCCCTCAAATTCATATCTACCTAAAACTGCAGAATCTGGCCTCATTTGGAAATAGTATCTTTGTATATGTAACTAGTTAACATAATGTCACATCAGGTTAATAAATTGACTGTGGTCTTTATAGAAGTACTACATTAATATACAGAAGGGAGACACAAGAAGGCCATGTCTGGAATTCAGCTACGAGCCAAGAAATACCAAGGAATCTGTTAACTACCACCAGCTAGGGGAGAGTATAGTACTTCTGCCCAGTCCTCTGATATGTTGATTCAGGGCACCTGAATCGGGCTCATTTCTGTTATTTTAAGCTACCAGGTATGTGGTAGTTTGTAGTAAGGTTCTGAGGAAACTGGTGTAGGAGGAACCCAGGAACTTTGGAAGATGATGAAATATCCTAAAATTACACAAGCGATTGGACATGCAAATTATAGTAAAAACCAGTGAACGATACAGTTTAAATTGATGAATTGTATAGTACATGAATTATATCTCAATGAAAGTGTTTATTCATAAAAAACCCTGTAGGCATTGATTGAATGTTTTTTGTTTTTGTTTTTGTTTTTGAAGGATTGAGGATATGAGGAAGCGGCATGTAGAGACTTCCCAACCCCCTTTACTTCCTGTTCCAGGTGAGTGAACAGGTGGTAGATGGTGGGTGGAGATGGATAGGGAGGGCAGACTCTTGTGCTGAGCGAAAACATGCATTAGTCTCCCTGCTGCTCTGATTTGGGGAGTTCTTACTGGCCACCCCCATCAGTAGCCTACACCACCTGGAGGCAAAAGGAGGAATGTGTTGGTGGAGGTGGCTCCCAGCCACACATGTAGTCAAATAAGGTGGTATGTGTAGGTCTCAGTACCTTGTTAGCCTCTACTTCCCTTTGAGGTCTACCAAGTCTGTGTATGAAGCCTATCCAGCTAGCCTCTGTTCTTTTTTTCTCAGCTCACCACTCCTTTCATCTGGCTTTGCCCAACCAGCGGAGAAGTCCTCCTGAAGAGCCACCTGACTTCTGTTGTCCCAAGTGCCAGTATCAGGCACCTGATATGGACACTCTACAGATACATGTCATGGAGTGTATAGAGTAGGAACAGCAGATATAAGGCCACTTGTGATACCATGTCCCGAACTATGCAACCTGTGCTTTCTTGTTTCACCTGCATAGTCCACAATTAAGGGTTTGTTGTCAGAGAGCTGGCCTCAGGACCTAGTAGGACCCTTGCTTTAGCCCTTTGGTCTGCTAGTTCTCCACTAGGGTAGACAGCCCCAGTCAGGGCTGTTTTTTCCCCTTTTCTTCTGTGTGCCTGAGCCACTTACCTCTGGTAGCTTCTTCCTCCCTCTTCTATTCTCCTAGGTAGTCTAGAATGGAGGCCAGGGGCTCTCAGGGAGCACCCCTTCTCCAAGCAGGGCTGGGTGCAGCTCTTACTCCTTCTACCTGGTGCCTTTTTTGCTCTGAGCTGCAGGCTGTCTTCCCAGGGTATGTGGCACTTAGGGCCATAACATGTTGCCTGTGATGGACACTTGGGAAGTATTCCATCTTTTTGCTACCATAACTAATGGTGTAGTGAAAGTACTTGCACACTGACCTATGTGTACCTTTAAGACATATGCTTAGACATAACATTGCAGCCTTGCCATGGAGGAGGTGGGTCAACCTTTGTGTTTCTGTCATCTGCTAGACATGAGGTTCTTTACTAAAGAGTGTGCTTAAGTGCCTTTTTCTGGGGTATGTGGGCCCTTTTTAATTCCGCTGATGTAACTTGGATTTTCATATTTTCTACCCATTTTTGTGTTGCATCATTGCCCTTTATTCCTGGGCTTTGGGGTGCTCTTTGATCATGAGTCATGTTAGCTCTTATCTATCCCAGGAAGTGCACATTTGCTCCACTTTGATTGTGTTACTGTTTTGGGGCCTAGAAGCAGTTTATGTACTCATACCCATTCTTTGCTCCCATATTTTGGCTTTGGAGTTATGACTGCTTTGTGCTCTGACAGAAGGGCATTTCACATACATGCTTTTTTTTCTAGCACCAGTGTGTTCTTGTCTTTGTGAAGCACATTGTTGTCTTGTGTGAATGGTGGTTTCCATAGTTCATCACAGTCTAGGAGTTTGTGATGGCATATTCTCTACTAGCCCAGATAATCCTGTCTTGGGAATCATTTAGTAGTGACTGGCAGATTGTGAGCAAGGATCTAGACATTTTCTGGGACCTTACAGTCATTAGTATTAGCCTTGCAATTCTAGTAAAGAAAGGAAGTTGGAGTTGAGAAAGCAGTAGTGCCTTGCTGACTCCTCAGGCCTGAAACCCTTTCATGGTTCTGAGTGGAACCTATAAATCAATCCCTGTCTGGGCTTTTATTCACAGGGCTTCTTGCCCATAAAGAGTGAGGAGGCTGAGTAGAATTAGGATTTAAAAAGTAAGCCTGAGTTGGGGGCTTCTTTAGAATTTTCAGGGGATGAGGAGCAAATTTTCTGTTTCCTAATTCCCAGGTATCTATCATACAGATCTTTGGGGAAATATTAAAGTAATAGAAATGTTCTTTGCTCATGAGCCCTTCATTTAAATACCTAATCTAATTTTCCTCCAGGAGCACTATTGATTTGGTTTTTTGGTGGTCTATGATTTTCCTATAGCTGTTCTAAAAATTCTCAGAAATTTGAAGCAGCAAAAATATTACTGTTTTATGTCTGGAAGCCAGATGTTATGTTTCTCCTGAGAATCAATTCCAGGCTTTCACTCAGTTCTTGGTGGTTTCTGGCAGTTCTTGGTGGTGTTTGGCTTATAGACCCATCACTCCAATCTCTGGTTCTGGGGCCTTGTGGTCTCCTTTTCTACACCAAATTGTAGATGTGTGTGTGTGTGTGGGGGGGGTCTATCTGGTAATTAAGGAGGATCTCCAGCTTATGATTTACTTCACTACACCTTCCAAGATCCTTTTCCCAAATAAAGTCATGTTCTCAAGTTCTAGGGGTTTGAGCTCACACAACCCAGAGTAGAGGGATATCATTAGAACCTGAGTAAACACAAAGGCAGATGCCTTTAAGTCTTGCAATTTTGCTAGAGAGACTTGGTTTCTAGGGTTATGGTGACCACTAGACTTCAGAATTTGGAGGTCAGGCCCTTATAGGCTCCTAGCAGAGCCAGTGGGTGTGACTGAGAAAGGCAGGTTGGCTGTAGTAGGAAAGAGCTGTTGACTGCCTGCAGTGGCTCTATGGGCTTCATGCTTCTTGGATAAATAGAGATGCAAAGGTATATTTCTGATCAGTACTTTATCCTGAAAGTGGCTTAGAAAGTCAGTGCCACCCATGTTGCACATCAGGATCACCCAGAAGCTTGAAAGGTTGAGAACATTCTGGTTTGGGCTCCATGGACTGGTGAAGCCAAAATCTGAGTGTGGCTCCAGGCAATGGCTGGGACCTAGTATTCTTCCTAGAAGGTGGGAGCTCTTGACACCTTCTTACCCTGAACCATAATGCATGATTAACCACACATTAGATATCAAGGATTTGAGATTATGCCATCTTCCCTGACATGGGACATGCTTCTTTCTTTCTTTTCTGGAATTACTTAACTAGACCTGGAAAAACTGGTTGTTGGTCCTCACTCCCTCTTACCCCACAAGGAATTAGCCCTGTGTTTGATACCCTCAGGCATGGTAAGACCTTGAAGTATTTCCCTTTTCAAGGGGGTCTGTTTGGTGAGATGGATGGAACAAGCACTCTGGAAACATCCTCACAGTGATTAATTCCTTGGAGTCCCTCCCTCTCATGGTACCATCATTTGTCACCACCAAAAGCTGTGATGAAATAGCCCATATATCTGATGACACAGGCCTGCATAGCCAGCATCTTGAACATTTTGTTGCATGGAACATTCTCTGTAGTATGGTATAAAAAGGTCAGAAGATTAAATTATGTATAAAATGGGAAATAAAGAAGACCTGCAAGCATGCACCTTCTCCTTACTTGGTGGATGTAGGGATAGAACTGCCAGTAACAAAATTTTTCTTTTGTGCTATTTCTATGCCTTTAATTCTCATTCATTATATAGGAAGTAGCTGTTACATACAGCTTTGAGGTTTCCTCTGCCTATGACTGAGGAAAGCTCATTGTTAATACAACAGAGTGGTGCAAGGGACCAAGTCAACTAACATGGAACCTGGATTTCCTGTGACTGCAGCAACAAAGTACCACTCGTTGGGGGCTTAGGCAACAGAGGTTTCCTGTCCCCCTGTTCTGGAGGGCAGAGATCTGAGATATGTGTGGGCAGAGTGGGTTCCTCATACGATATAACCCACTCCAGGCCCGCTTTTCATTGTGTAGCAGGTCCCAGCAATTCTTAGTGCCGCCTGGTTGGCCCTGCATGTCGAATTCTGTCACTTTTGTCACATGGTCACCTTGTGTTTCCTTTTTATAAGCATACCCATGTGAAAAAAAGTGGATATTTGGTAACATAAGAACATTTTGTTCATTATCTAGTGATGGAAAGAGCCAATCTGCAGAGATGGTCAGAACAGCATGAGGGGTTAGGTATGAAGCTGTGGACAACATCATGGATATGGAGGAGAGAGGAAGAGGTATCTATTTAGTAACTACTGGGCTCTTGGCTTCACACCCAGGTACCTGGGCCATCTGTCTACTACTGTGAGAATTAGGGAAAAGGACATCAAAGTTTTGAGAGAAGCAGTTCAGTGTTAAAATCTGATCTAGCCAGGCTCAGTGTGAGGTGTCTTGGGTTCCTTCATCTTGCCGTGACTGTTAGGAACATTGAGACTGCAGGCTTTTCATTATCCATTGTTAACTGGCAACCAGTATGATCTGGTAAATCTGTTTCCACTTTGCTTAATGTCCTCCACTGATTTTCTGTTGCTTCAGGTCTAAACTCCATCCTCAGCCTTAAGTTGCTCTAACTTCATGTCATCTCCCCTAAAAGCCCTTTTTCCTTTCCTCAAACTTCTGTATCTTAAGGCTTTTGCCTCTGTCAGTTGTCTTCCTTGCTGAGAAGGCTCTGTCTCCTAATCTACACAGTTGATTTCTTTTTGTCATTCAGATCTAAGTATAAACAAAAGTTCTTTCATCCAAAGTCTCCATCCTAAATCACATTACCTTGTTTTAACTCACATGGGAAACTCATTGACCTTTTCTATTCTGCTGTTTCTTCCCTCCCACTAGAGGGAGAAAGAAGCCTAGTCAATCCAATTTAGTAACACACTATACAGGAAGAGCTCAGCACAGGAATACTGTGTTTACTGATGGCCGAGCTTGTTTGACATGACATCAGGATTCTTCTGCCAATATTTTCACAGATATCATCTGTCACCATAATTGGTGACTTAAAGAAGTTATTATATTAATGTACTAGGGATAATAATACAGAAATCTTATTTTAAAACTATAGCTTTTTTGGTGCTGAGGATGGAACCCAGGGTCTTGCACATGCAAAGCATGGATACCACCACTGAACTACAATCCCAGTTTATCAGCTTTTCTCTGTGTCTCCCTACCCCTGTCTCTCATAGTCCTATTCTGTCACTCTGCCTAGGTTAGAATTTACTATGTAATCCATGATGGTCTTGAAATTTGAAATTGCAGCTATCTTTATTGCCTTAGCCTTTCTCTCCAGTGCTAGGGTTACAAATATGTTTCACTATGCCTGACTAGCATTTTTTTACTTTGTTCAGAAACTGAATGGGTATCTATCTGTGCATAATGGTACACACAATTCTGACCCTTGAGAGGAAGAGGTAGGGAGAGTACCATGAATTTGAGGCCAGTGTGGGCACAAGAAAGACTTAGTTTCAGATAGGGAAATCTGGAAAATAGGATTTGGAAGGATGGATCATGTGATCTTCATAATAGATAGTTAAGGAGACAGATTCTGAGGTCGTATGGACAAGTTCCAGTGTGAACATTAATGAAACCCTTGAGCCTTGGCTTCATCTGTAAAACTGCAAATCAATTTCAGTTTAGACCCAAGTCGAGATTTTCCATTAGGTTTTGAGTGCTGGAATGAAAGTTAGTTGGGCCTATCTGTCATACAGTATGCACTTGAAGTTGAAGCAAGATGCTAATGCGTTCCAAGATAACTTAGGCTACATAGCAAAACTCTCTCTCATAACACAAACAAAAAGTCAACTGGTGAATCCTTGGGGATGAGTGGGACAAGGAGAGAGTAACAGTGGGCACAAGGTTCTTTGGGGGAATGGGGATGTTTTGAAATTGGTCACAGTGATGCTCTTATATCTGTGAATATGTTGCAGACCATTAAATTGTATACTGCAGATGAGTGATGTGTTGTATGTGGATTAGATCACAATAAAACTGACATTTAAAATGTTGTCTAAGCTCTGTACAGTTTCCCAGAATGCTTTCTGACAATGCAGATGAAGATACAGAAAGACTTGAATATTTGCATTTGAAGCTGCTTGAGAAGTGACATATTGATGGGCTTTTGGTGTTGTCCCATTAACTAGGAAGGCAGACCTGAAGGTGGGGCACATGTGATTGGCTTTGTCTCATGAAATAGAATGATCACACCATGTTCTTTCTTCAGAGTCCCAGGGTTGGAGCTAGCAGCTGCTTCCCAACCACCATGAGCCTGGATGGCTGGGCAACAGGTGGACACTACTGCATCATCAGAGGAACAGAATTAGGTAGGCAAGTATGGTAGATATTGGCCAGTGGGGAAGCAGGAACCCCTAGGTGTAAGGAGTATGGTTTTTCCACCTGCCGCCTGATCTGGTCCCGCCGCTGCATCAGCCCCAATTAACACACAGAGACTCTGTATATGATATAATTCTGTTGGCCAGTTACTAGTTTCTTATCGGCTAGCTCTGTCTTAAGTATTAACCCATTTGTATGTATTTCCACATGGTCTTACCGAGAGCGGAGGAATGGCAGTTCTGTTCTCTCCAGACTCTCCATCTTGACTCTCCTTACTTACTACTTCCTCTTTCCTCCTTCTCTCCTAGTCCCCCCTATCTTGCTTTCCTATTGGCCAACAGTGCTTTATTCATTAACCAGTATGAGAAACATATACAGAATGACATCTCCCATCACCTAGGGATATCAGGTTTTTAAAGATTCCACTGGTCCCAGGTGTCCCAGGATCAGGGCTGGGGATAGAATTTGATTTGTTAGTCTGGCAGAGCCATGGTAGATGTCTATCAGACTTAGAGATAAGGCCTTAACCCATATTCAGGAGTTGCTGGCAGCTGGAGTGAAGGGCTTTGTGTCAATCCTAACAAGCACTGCAAAATAGTCACTGCACAGGGAAAGCCCAAAATTAAACAACAGAAGCACCAGCAAATACCACAAAACTAAACTGGCAATAAGGTGAGATACTCATGAACAGAAGTTTCTATGATGCAGACTTATGTCTAAAGGAAAGAGGCCCAGTCAGATGGCTCAGTGAGTAAAGGTGCTTGCTGCCAAGCCTGGCTATGTGAGTTTAATTCTAAGGATACTTGGTGGAAGTAGGACTCTGATTTCCACATATGCTCTCTTATACCCCACCCACCCCAATTAATAAATGTAACATAAATCTTTTTTTTTTAAAGTTAAAAGAGAGGCTGGAGACTAATAGGAAAGTTCATAGCACTAAGTGCCTACATAAATATATGGAGCAACTTAATAGTATGCCTGAAAGCTCTAGACCAAAAAGAAGCAAACACACTAAAGTGGAGTAGATGACAGGAAATAATCAAACTGAGGTCTGAAATCAACAAAACAAACAGCACAATACAAAGAATCAAAGAAACAAAGATCTGGTTGTTTGAGAAAATAAACAAGATAGACAGACCCTTATTCAAATTAACTAAATCACAGGGAGAGAATACCCAAATTTGTAAAATCAGAAACAAAAGAGGGCTAAAACAATGAGGAAATCCAAATAATCATTAGGTCATACTTTAAAAGACTACTCCAGAAGATGGTAAACTCTAAAGGAAATAGATAATTTCCTTTTTAGATACTACTTACCAAAGTTAAATCATGATCATATAAATAACTTTAATAGCTCTATAAACCCTAAGGAAATAGAAGTGGTCATTAAGTCTTCCAACAACAACAACAAGAAGCCCAGGGTAAGATAGTTTTAATGTGGAATTCTACCAGACTTTCAAAGAGTTAACACCAACGCTCCCCAAATTAATTATTCCACAAAATATAAACAGAAGGAACATTGTCAAACTCATTTTATGAGGCCCCAGTCACCCTGAAACCCAAACCACAAAGATTCAACAAAGAAAGAGAATTACAGACCAATTCCTCTATGAACATAGATACAAAAGCACTGAACAAAATACTTACATATGAATAGTGGAAAGAGTACCTGAACTGGAATTCCCCTGTAAACTGATTGAGGACAATAATAATTATCATCATAGATCTTCCATCCAGTAACTGATGGAAGCAGATGCAGAGATCAACAACTATCCACTGGGTTGAGTTCTTGGAGTTCAGTCAAAGAGAGGGAGAAGCAGTAATATGAACAAAGGGATCAAGGATGTGTCCCTGGTGCACGAAAGGACTTTGGGAGCACATTCCCCATGGAGGGATACTCCCTTAGCCTAGAGACAGGAGAGAGGGCCTGGTCCCTACTCCAAATGACTTGACAGATTTAGATGACCCCTCCTGGAAGGCATCACCCTCCCTGTGGAGTGGGGGGTGGTATGGGATGGCATGGGGATTGGGGGGCATGGGAGTGAGGGAGGGAGGAAGGGAGAGAGAGAAGTGGGATCAATATGTAAAATAAGAAAAATAAAAAGATCATGGTGGGGAAACAGAAACAGTTGACCGGAGCTAGTAGAACTTCACTGACTCCAGATAGCTGGGGGACCTGCATAGGACCTAACTAGGCCCCCCTGAGTGCAGGTGACAGTGGATGGCTTGAGAAGTTTTTGGGGCCCTTAGCAGTGGACCAG